CTTTTCCTTTAGCTGTCTCTACCCCCTTTTTTTCCTTTTTCCCCCGCGCGCTCCCCCTCCCCAAGGCCACCCCCACCTGGTGTATGAGCTGGTAGAAGGAGTGCTGGCCGTTGGTGCCGGGCTCCCCAAAGTAAATCTCGCCCGCCTTGAAGGGCAGCGGCTCGCCGTCCACAGACACCTGCTTGCCCACGCTCTCCATGGCCACCTGCGGGGGTGGTGGTGGGGGGGGGGGCAGGAGCGGGTTGGCTGTGTGTGTGTGTGTGTGTGTGTGTGTGTGTGATTGGTGGCTGCGGCTAGCGTCTGCCTTGCGCACGGCATGGCGGCGAGGGAGGAAGGCGGCAGGGAAGGCAGGACGAGCACGCCCCACCTACCTGCTGGATGTGGGATGGGAACTTGGACAGCGCCTGGCAGTACGGCAGTACCGCCACGCTGCTGCGCCCCAGGAAGGTGCTGTTCCAGATGCTGCAGGGGCGAGAGGGGGCAGGCGTGGCATGGCGAGGTGTGGTGAGGGGCAGCGCGGTGTGGCGTGGTGTGCTGTGCTGTGCTGTGGTGTGTTGCTGTGCGAGGGGTGGGGAGATGGGATTGGGGAGATGGGGTGGGGATGCGCGGTGGGCCTGCCCAGGGCAGCTGCCGCCCCTTGCTCGTCCTAGCCTCCCAAGCTCTGCACCTAATGAGGCCCATGAGGACGGGGATGTTGTTCTGGAAGGGAGCGTCGCGGAAGTGGCAGTCGATGTCGTGGGCGCCCTGCAGGAACTCCTCCATCTTCTGCGGTACCATAACGAAGCGGTACCGTGGTGTGCCAGGGGGCGGAGAGGAGGGCGGGAGTGAGCGGGTGTGCAGGACTGGACGGGGTGTGAGCAGCGGAGTGGCAGCGGCAGTGCAAGGCTTCGCGTGCAGCAGAGCAGCAGCGGCGGCAAGCAGGATACAGCAGTACAGCCGAAACAGCAGTACGTGCGGCACCCACCTCGTAGCCGTACTGCAGCGCCAGCGGCAGCAGGCCCACCGCGCTCGTCACGCTGTACCGCCCGCCCACCCAGTCCCAGAACCCAAACGCATTCTGCGGGGCGGCGGCGGGGGCGGCGACAGGTTCAGCCAGGGCGGGACAGCAAGGGTGGGGCACGTAGGAGGGTGGTTCGTGACCGGTGATGGCAAGCGGCAGGCCGGCTACGGGCAGGGTGACGTGGTGTGCGTGGTTGGCATGCCAGCATGCCAGCATGGCACCGAGCCAGCATGGCTGCTCACCGCCAGCAAGCCAGCATGAACAATCAACAGCATGGCAGAGCTCACCGCGGGGTCGATCCCAAACTCCTTGACCAGCTTCAGGTTGGTAGAGACCGCCACCATGTGCTTGGCCACAGCATCCTGCCCCAGCTCAGCCGTCAGCCAGGTGCGCACCTGGGGAGGCGCAACCAGGCGGGGTGGTTCAGGGGTGGCTCAGGGGTTGAGCACCGGCAACAGCAGCGGGGTCGGCCGCCCGCCAGGCTGCCCGGAGCAGGCGACCAGCCGGGGACGCTGCCAGGAAGCTGGCAAGGTGTGGGCCCTCGACAGCGAGGCCCACAAACGCTCCTCCGGCGCCCTCCTGGCGCACCCAGCCCCCCCGGAGCACCCAGCCGGGCAGGCGGGCGCGGGCAGCGGCTCACCGTGCGTGCGTTCAGCATGGTTTCCGTGGTGGTGAAGGTCTTGGAGATGACGATCACCAGGGTGGTCTCTGCGGGGGAGGCAGGGAGGCACTGAGGTAAATAAGACAGGATTGGCACTGCAAGCTTGGAGTCCATGCGAGACCCTCTGTGGCCCACAAACACCATCCACACTGGCAGCAACCCTGTCGCCCACAAACCCACCCCAGCCACACAGAAAGGGCACCCACCCACCACCGCCCGCAGCCCGCTCACCAGGGTTGAGGCCGTTGAGCGCCTTGGCCACATCCACGGGATCCACATTCGCCAGGAACCGCAGGCGCCTGCCGGGTGGCGGCATCAGAGGCGCGGAGGCGGCAGAGGAGGCGGCGGCAGTTGTTGTCGCGATGGGGGCAAAGCGCAGGGTCGAGCGAGGCGGCGAGAAAGCCAGCGGCATCCACCTGCCACTGCCACCGCCCACTGCGCCGCCCCCGTCTCAGCCCAGTCACCACCCCGCACCTGCCACGCGCCAGCTCCTTGCACGGCTCGTCAAACTGCATGGCGGTGTGCACGAAGAGGGGGCCCAGGTAGGAGCCGCCGATGCCGATGGCCACCACGTCTGTCAGCGGCTTGCTGGTGGCGCCCACCCACTCGCCGCCGCGCACGCGCTCTGCAGGCGGGCAGGGAGACGGGACGGGGCGGTGCTCAGCAGGGGCGAGCGGCAGCCCGGAGGCCGCACCAGCCTGTCCCCGGATCAGGTCCAGCCGCGGCAGGCCTGACCCAAACCAAACTAAGCCGCGGCCTGGCATCGCGGCGCCGGCTGGCCTTACGGCGCCGGCATGCGCCACCTGGGCGCCACCTCAGCGCCTGCCACCTCAGCGCCTGCCGCCTCACCCGAGAAGTCCTTGATCTTGTCCAGCACCTCCCACACATCGGGCACCACGTTCTGGCCGTCCACATACACCTCCTGCGGCAGCAGGGGCGCAGGCGCAGGCAGCGGCAGCGCCAGCGTGACGCAGAAGGGGCGGCAGCAGGAGCAGCCCCCAAACCGCCATCTCCACAGTTGCCACCGTGCCGCACAAACAACACCAACAATAACAACAGAAGCACACACAGAAGCAAAGAAGCGCAGCGCCGCACCTCGTCGCGCGGCATGCGCAGCGCGGTGTGCAGCACCGACCGGTCCTCAGTGTTGTTGATGTGCTCCCCCGCAAACATGGCGTTCATCTTGGTGCGCAGCTTGGCGCGCTCCGCCAGGTTCAGCAGCAGCTGCGCGGCGAGACGGAGGGAGGGGGCGGGCGGGGGTTTCAAGTCAGGAGGTTTTGTGTCGCGGGGGAACAGCCGAGCCGCATCATGCGCCAAAGAGAGAGGCTGCCATGCCGTCGGTCGCCGCTGTCGGTGCCACCAGCTGTGTGCTGCCACGGCGATCAGGCTTCAGGCCGCAGCACACGCGGGCAGCTTTTAACAAGACGATGGCCAGGCCCGCACAGGCTGCCAGCCTTGCTCGGGAGCCTTGCTGGGGAGCCTTGCTGGGAGCCTTGCTGCCAGCCGGAGGCTACCCACCTGCATGGTCGTCTCGGTCACGTTCTGGCGGGAGAAGTCGACATAGAGGCCGTTGTGCTCCCGCACCAGACTGTCTGTGCGCTCCTCATCCACCAGCAGGTCGCGCAGGTGGCTGCAGCGCGGCAGCACGGCGTGCAGCGGCCGGCGGAGGGGTGAGGGGTGAGGCCCGAGGCAGCGGCAGCAGCCAAGCAATGCCCCCGCCGCAGCAGCGCCACAGGTGGATTGCCGCACATCCCCTGCTGCGCGTGCCTTGCTCTTCCTGGAGCCAGGGCTGTAACGACAGCTACCCGGAAGCGCAGCAGAGGCAGGCACGCAGGCAGGCAGGCAGGGTTTCACACCACAACAGCCAGGCGGCGGCACTCACAGGCTCTCAACCTCCTTGGTGTGCTCCCGCAGCGCCATCCACTCTGGGCTGTAGGCAATGGGCAGCTTCTTGGCCTCCTTCGGGCTGTTGGCCGAGGAGGAGCCCGAGGAGGTCATGTGGGCGGTGTCGGTGTGGCCGATCTGCGCAAACGCGGCCTGAACAGGGTGCGGGGCCGTGGCGCCGCGCCACGCGCCGCGGCGGGCCTGGGGCCTGCACGGGACGAAGGACGTGGTGGAGGTCGCAGGAGGTGTCGGATGATCTGACCCACCAGAGACCTGGGGAGCCAGCGAGCGCGAGGGTGGCGAGTCCGTGGGGTGAGAGTCGGTGCCGGCGGCCGGCGGCCGGCGGCAGCGGCGGCGCCTGCACCAGCCTCCACCCTGAGCGGGGGGGCGGGCGCTGATCCGTGCCATTGCCGCCAAACGGTGCTGAGACCGCCGGCTCACAGCCAAGGGGTAGCCGGACCGAGCCAAGGGGCGTGAGGCAACCCCAAGCTGACCGCCCATCGGAGGCCCCCGGGAGGTTGCGAGCCCCACATGGGGGGCGATGCCACCTCCCGCGAGCCCAGCTGCCGCCGAGCGCAAGTCTAGGGATAGGGTCAGGCACCTGGCGGCCCCTGCAGCGGGAAGGCTCACCTGCCGTGCAGCTGGGCTCCGTGGAAGCCGCTGGCCTGCAGGGCGATCGCCGACTGCTGCATGGCGGGATGCGCTTGAGAGCGAACCCCTGTGTCGACCGACCTGAGCGCCGCTCTGACCGCCCTCTGCCGTGGGTGATGCACTGAGCGCTGCAACAGGAGCAACCGACCAAATTGCAGGCGCCATGGCCATGCTAGGGCTCCAGGGGTGAGCGGCAGCGCCGCCATGCGGGCGGGCGGTGCTGACACAGCGCCGCTCGCTGCTTGCGCGCGCCACCCTGTGGCTTTCAACACCTGAGACGCTGTGGCCAGACACAGGAAGGCAGCCTCCACACCCTTTTACGGCAGCGGTCGCTCCAGCCGGCACCTGCACCTGCCACGACAGGTGCTGTCGCAGCACCGCAATCAGTTGCGGGCGATAAGGGTGTGGATGAATCGCGGGGTTACACGCCTGGCCATGGCTGCCAGGTGGCTCCCATCGGCGGAGAAAAAAAGAGGGCAGGGGAAGGCGAAGCAGGGCTGTGCAGCCGCATCCCAGCCACCCACAGCGGCCCTGCCACCGCCGCCGCCGCCGCCGTCGCCGCCGCCGCCGCCAGCGGCCGCCGGCTGGCGAGGCTATCGCTTGACCCACTGGAAGGCCTTGCGCGCTTTCTTCAGGCCCGGCTTCTTGCGCTCCACGATGCGGGAGTCGCGGGACAGCAGGCCTGCAGCACGAGCGCCGCCAGCAATCAGCCGGGCAGCGCGACAGCCCGCAGCAGCGGCGGCCGCAGCGGCTTGCCCGCACCCCCTCCCCCCCAATCTCCTCAACCCGTCTGCCACCCCACCCCGCCCCGCCTGGCGCCCCACAATCCAGCCCAGCAGCCGCACTGGGGGCGTACCGTAGGGCTTGAGGTACGGGCGCAGGGCGGGCTCGTAGTTTTGCAGCGCGCGGGCGATGCCGTGGCGCACCGCCTGTGCCTGCCCCGTCTGCCCGCCGCCGCGCACGCTGACCATGACGTCAAAGCAGCCCAAGGTGCCGGTGACTGCAGGGGGGGGCGGGCATGGGATGCAGGGAGGTGGGGCAGGGAGGAGGGAGGTGCTGGCGAGTGGGCAGCTGGTCAGGCAGCTGGTCGGGCAGGCCAGGCCAGCGGGAGCCTCAATCAGCTGCAGCCGCCTCGCAGCCCCCCCCCCCCCCCCCCCTGCCTCCCAGCCAGCCCCGGCCAGCCGCAGCCTCCCCTGCTCCCCCCCCAGCCTGCCCTGGGTGACACGCCGCTGGACCAGGGATCTGGGGGGAAGCTGCAGGGTCCAAGTACTGTACACACAGGCAGCTGCGGCGCACCCAGGAAGGGCGTCAGCAGGTCGTTGCGGCGCAGCAGGTCTGGAAAGTAGCGGTCGTAGGGGCGGCGGTTAATCATCATGTGGCCTGCGGCAGGAAGGGGGCGGCAGGTGTGTGTGTCGGTACGTGTGGGTGTGGGTGTGGGTGTGGTGCGTGCGGGGGTGGTGATTGTAGCGGCAGCAGCACCACCACACTACATTAGCATGGAGCGGTGTCTTCCCACCAGCGGCGCGCCAGCCACCTGCCGCCGCGCCCCGCGCCGGGCAGCAGCCCCGCGCCCACCTGAGCCCTCCCGGATCCACACCAGCGCCACGCTCGTCTTGCGCTTTCCCACGCCGTGCGAGCGCCCGGTAACGGGGTCCACGCGCCGCACCCACCGCGCCGCATGCATCTCCTGCAGCCATCGCAGCAGCAGCAGCGGCGCTTAGCCTCGGCCGGCCTCGGCAGCCTGGCCAGCCCACCGGCGCCGCAGCCTGCCACAGGGCGGCGGGGCCGGCACCCCCACGGGCGCCTCCCTTCCAGGCAGCCGACCCCCCAGCATTTCAGAGCAGCCGCGGCATGCGGCATGCTGTGCAGGCCAGGCGCTGCCCACGCCGGGCCCACCCGCAGCAGCGCCCAGCAGCGGCGCCGCCGGCGGCGGCCCACCCACCCACCCACCCGGATGCTTTCCTCCCGCTGCCGCCGCCGCTCCTTCTCCTCCTCCGCTGGGTCCCACCCCAGCAGCTCCTCCAGCTGAGGAAACTCCTCGGTGCCCTCCACGGGAGCGATGCCCTCAAAGATGTCCCAGGCGGCACCCCAGTCGCCTGCGGCGCGGCGAACACCGGGGGGAGGGGCAGCGGCGGCGGCGGCGGCGAACCGGGTCGGCAGCAGGCGTGGCACAGCGCGGGCGGGGCGGGGCGGGGCCGCGGCTGGCAGGACGAGCAGGCTGGGCCAGGGAGAGCGCTTTTGGGGGAGCTGGTTCAGCAGGCGGGTATCCTGACAGCCCGGCAGCCGGGGGAATGCAGGCAGCGCCGGCCTGCCCGCTGGCATCACCGCCGCCGCCACCAACGCCGCTGGCCGCCGGCCGCACCTTCGTCCATGGCTTTGCCCCACGCTTCCAGCGCCTCTTCCACGTCGCCGAATTGGAGACGCCCCGACTCGCTGGCTAGCACCATGGGAGCGCCGGTGCCCTCCTCATCCTCGTCTGCCTCGTACCCCTCCCCTCCATCACCAGCCGCGGGTGGCTGCTTGCCGCCGCCGCCGCCGCCGCCGCCCGCCGCCGCCGCCGCCGCAAAACGCCGGCAGCTTGGCAGCTGGGCCGCTGCTGCCCAGCTGGGCTGCTGCGCTGCTGCTCGCTGCATCGCGGCTGCTAGGGCTGGGAGGCCGCCGCTGGCAGCAGCCGCTAGCCCCTCTGATGCCAAGCATGCCTGCAGCGCTGTGGCCCGCCGCAGGGCACTCAAGGTGTTGCGTAGCATCTACCAGTTTGCCTGCAACCAGCCGGCTATGGGTTCCTGAAGGGTGACGCTCCAGACGCTCCACGAGTTGACAAGGGCCGAGGCGGGAGGCTGGCACGCGATCAGGATTGGCGTGGGCGGCGAATGCATAGGAATCACGGGCAGCAGCGCGTGATAACATGAGGCCCTGCAAGGAAAGCGGCGGCAGGCCAGGCGTGGCGCCACGTGTGGGGCCGCATGCAGCTCAATTTCTGAGGGATGCATGGCTTGGGTTAACTGAACGGCTTGCTTCAGGCCAACCATTCATGCACCTAATAAGGGGGCGGGTGGCCTCCTCGCTTGCGTTCTACAGCCAGGCCAGGCGGCGCCGCCTGCTTGCTCCGACGATGCGAGTCCGGCTGCACAATCATTCAGGCCCTGTGCATCTCTGCAGCAAACCACTCGAACTCCAGGGGCGGTCAGGAAAGAAAGGACTGGGTGTGAACACGCTCATGCCGTGCATTTCTTGTTTCCGTCTGAGTGTCGCGCCACGGAGGGCGGGCACCTGATCAGTACCCAAAGCTAGGACTCAAACATTGTCTCCATGTTACATCAATTGAACCCGTCCAGCAACTCAAGAGTGTACCCGCTGCAACAAGGTGTCAGCAACGCTGCGGCAGCAGCGCTGCCGCCCTGCTCATCTCCTGGCGCAGCTGCCTGGCCGCCTCCCGGCTGCCACTCAGGCGCGCCTCAAAGGCCGATATGAGACCCTCCACCGAGGGCGGCGTATCAACATCTGCAGAACAGATGCAGGTTGGGCATACACGCTTTATTGCATTGCGATGGGATTGCCGCGCCTGCAGGACTTGTCTGCCAGCGCACACCAGCCTGCCAGGCCGCACCTGTATGGTTCAGCAGCAGGGAGAAGAAGGGTCCCCACAGCTCGGCCGCCCAGTGGCGCTTAAACGGCTCGCACAGCCGCAGAGACACAGCGCCTGCAAACGCCAGAGGGGCAGGGCGGAAGGCGCGGTCGAGCCAGCCACTGCCTCCCGGCTGCGCCCGCTCGCGGCTTTGACCCCCACCGTTGCACCGCCCCAGGCAGCCCAGCCATCCAGGTGCAGGCCCTGGCCCACCTGCCCAGCCCACCCAGCCCAGGCACCCAGCCCACCTGTGGCCTGCTCCTGCACTCGCTCCACCTCCATGTACCGCCCATACAGCAGGCAGTGCACCGTGGCAGCCACGCCGTAGGCGTCCGCCTGCCACACCCAGGGCCGCCCCTCCCGCATCTCCACGCACCGGAAGGAGTCGGTGCCGCTGTCACCCTGTGGGGAGGAGGCGCAGCGCGGGGCATGGGCACGCAAGGGCAGGGCAGGCGGGCGGGCTCTTAGCCCCAGCTCCCGCCCGGCCAGGCACCCCAGCAGGCACGCCCAGGGCGCCAAACCGTGGGGCCCCGGCAGCCACACAGCACTGCCCACACCCCACCTGCAGCAATGCTCCCGCGGGCAGAAGATCCAGGTCCAGAGCCCGCCCAAAGTCGATCAGCTGCAGGCCCAGAGCGGGGCCGGGCGCCTCGTTGCCACCTGCGGCAGGGAGGCGGGCGGACACCCCACCAGGCGCCGCCATGCGCTTGGGCGGCTGGCCGATGGGCGCTGGAAAGCACCCTCACGCTGCGCAGCACCATCTCACTGGGAAGGGCCTGCCCAGAAGAGACGGCAGGGAACAGCCCTCTGGGAAAGGCAGGGCGCTGCCCAGAGCCCCGGCCCCGCCGCTTATCTTATAAGCACAAGCTTCAGCCGCCCACCTGGCCCCTCCCCTGACTCCACAGTGACCAGCAGGTTGTCTGGCTTGATGTCGGTGTGCACCACGTGGGCTGCGGGGTGGCAGGTGGAAAGAAAGCAAGAGGGAAGGAAGAAAGTTGGCAGGGAGGGGTTGTGGTAGAGGAGGCGGCGATGCGGGAGGAGGGCAGCTCAACAGGCGCCCACATGCCGGGGAGGCATATCTTGAGAGGGGAGGCGCACGGCTGGCAGCCCGCAGCAGCGCGGCGCCCCACCAGCCCCCGCAGCAAGCGGCAGCCGGCTCCTAAGCGCGGCGGTACGCCCACTGTCCCGCCCGAGGGCACAGCCAGCCAGGTAGGCCAGGGCACGCTCGGCAGGGGAAGGGGCCTGTGTGCGCGGCCACGGGCAGCAGGCGCAGCAGCAGGCGGGAAGGGGGCCCTCACCCGCGTGCATCTCCCGCATGATGCGCAGCAGCTGAACGGCAAAGTGCATGGCCAGGGCCTCGGGGGGAGCCTGCGGGGAGGCAGGCAGGGGGGCAGCAGCAGGCGCGGGTCGGAGCGGCGGCCGTCGACGACACGTGTGCGGGGCCAAGCAGGCGCTGCTTTTGTGTTGCGGGTTGTGCCTTGCTGCGGGCCTCCAGCAGCTGGAGCCAGTCTGCCGTGCCCCATCCGGCCCCTCCCACCACGCCGCACTGGTCTCCCCGCTTGCTCCCCACACACGCACTCCCGGCCGATACTTGCGCTCCACGGGCCGCCTGCCTGTGCACCCCCAGCCGCCGCGCGCCGCACCTGCTGCCGCGCCAGGTACGCGTTCACCAGGTCTTGGAGGCTGCCGTGGGGCCCCAGCGGCGCCACCAGCACGCTGGCCTTGGCCCCCAGCAGCAGGGCGGAAGGATCGACAAAGTGGCGGCGCGCGGCCGGCGGCACCCGCGCCGCCAGCGCCTTGCAGACGTACCTGCAGCGGGTGGGGAGGAAAGCAGGCGCATGTGAGTGCGGCGGGGGGTGGGGGCGCAATGAATTAGAGGCAGGCCGGGCCGGGCAGGGCGTGGAGGTCGGCGGGTGGGGCGCGCCAGAGAAGGGCAGGCAGGCCTGGGCGCAGCGGCCGCATGCTCCAGGGGAGGCGAGCGGGCACGCCACACGCCGCGCCGCCGCCTCCTGCCAATCCACTGCGCCTTGCACCAAGCATGCACGCCACCCACCCCCACACCGTCGCCCCCGGCCCGCTCACCACTCCCAGGGGCAGGGCGGCCCCTCCAGCTTCAGCGCCACATCTCCGCAGTCGCCATCAACGCCTTGGAACACACGCGCATAGGCCCCCTCCCCGATGCACCCGCTGCACACGCACAAGGCACAGGTCCATGGCACAGAGGGTGAGGCGGCGCCAGGTGGCAGCGGCGAGCTGGAGCGGCGCAAGCAGAGGGAAGCCCTCCTGGAGGGCTGCCGCTGCGCAGCGCCGCGCCGCGCCGCCAGCCGCGGCCCACCGCAGGGCAGCAGCAGCATCACCAGCCGGCACCCCACCTGACCGCAAACTCCAGCCCGCACAGCTGGAGCTCCACCAGCCCCGAGGTGCCCCTGGCTGCCGCCTCCAGCCCCACCTCCGCCTCCGCCTCCTCCCCCTCGCTCATGCAGTGCACGCCGGGCCACTGCGGGAGCGCAGGGGCACGCAACGCGGCGGGACGGGGCAGGCAGGCAGCGAGGCAGGTTGGAGCAGCTGGATGGGTGGCGAGGCGGCGCAGCCGAGAGGGAACAGCCAGCCTCCCACCTGCTGCTGCTGCCACCAAATGGCAGCCAGAGTGCCAGCTGGTACACCCAGCAACCACGGCCTCCACTGCCACACCCACAGCACCACCGCCAGGCTCACCTCAGCCACCGCAGGCTCCAGGCAGGCCAGCATGCGCCCGCGGAAGGAGGGAGAGAAGGGGTCTAGCGCCGGCACCTCCCCAGCGCCTCCCTCCGGCCACTGCCGCACGGGCGTCACAAAGCCCGCGCCCGCCACCACCTCGCCTGCTGGCGATAACAGATGCGCTGTTCCAGCCTGCTCCAGCTTCTTGGCGGCGGCGCCGGGCTGGGCCGCAGCGGCGCCGGCGGCGGCCGGGGCGGCGCAGGTCTGGCTGCCTCCGGAGCCGGCGGGTGAGCCCATGAGCGGCGGGCTGCCTTCCTCCCCATCATCTACCCACACCATGAAGCTGTCCTGCTCCGGCAGCCCAGCAGCCACCACAGCCGCCTCCGCCTCAACATTCCATTCCACTTCCACGCCGCCCAGCGCCGCCGCCCGCGCCTCGCCCAGCGGGCGCAGCGCTGCTGCGGCGGCGACGGGGTCGGACAGGCTGCGGGCGGTGGCGCCGGGCGCCGCCGCGACTGCCGCCGCCTCCACAGGCAAGTTCTCCTTGCTGTCTGCCAGCTGCAGGCCCTCCAGGTGAGCCTCCAGGGCCGGGGAGGCTCCGGGGGCGGCGCCGCCGTCGGCGCCGTCGGCGGCGGCCTGCAGCTGCGCCGCCGCCGTGGGGTCTGCCGCCGCCGCCTGGCCCACCGCCTCCAGCAGCGCCTGCGTGTCTCCCAGGTCCAGCTGGAGGGCGAGGGTGTCGTCGGCACCGGGGGCAAACCCCCACTTGCCCACCTGCGGCAGGAGCGTGGGGCAGGTCAGTGAATGAGTGAGCGAGCGAGCGAGCAGGTGATGGGCGGAGGAGCGAGCTTGAGTGGGGTTTGGCCGACTGGAGGCATACACAGGGATGGGTGGCAGGCCTGCCACAGCGCCGGAGCTGCTTGCCAAGAGTTAAGGGTTGGCCATGGCGGCGCGGTGGCAGGCAGATGAGCCAGGCAGCTGCCCCTGGCACCAAACGCAAGCTCGGCCTCCCCACCTGGCCGTCGTTGGCGCTGTGCGCGGGGCTGCCCGCCGCGAGCAGCGGCGAGGCGTCGCCGCCGCCGCCCAGCAGGTCGCCTGTGCTGCCCCCGTCCCGCAGCTCGCTCAGCGGCCGCTTGCGCGCCGCGCGCGGGCTGCTGCCCGGGCCGCCGCTGGGGCAGCCGGCGGTCCCGCCCAGGCTGCTGCCGGGAGAGGTGGCAGGGGTGGCACCCAGCCCCAGGAACATAGTGTCTTCCCTGATGCAGAAACTGCCGCCAGCAGCAGCGGCAGCAGGTGGGCCCGCATGCCGTGTGTCCTCGCGGATGCGGAAGCCTTGGGAGGGGTCGGGCGTGCCAGCGGGTGCCCACTCGCCTCCCTCCACCGCCGCTATCGCCTCGCCCGCCAACGCATCGTCGTCGCCGGTGCACTCGTCGTACCGCTGTGGGACCGCCACAGTTATGTACTGCGTGTCCTCACGGATCATGAGCCCGCCTAGGCCGCCGCCGGATACCGCGGGGCTGGCCTGCCGCGCCGGCTCTGCATCCTCCTCCTCCTCCTCATCAGCTCCTGCCGCGGAAACCGTTATGAACTGAGTGTCTTCATGCACGCAGAAGCTGCCCATGCCGCCGCCGCCGACGACGACCGCCCCTGGCGAGCCTGCCGCGCCGCCGTCGTCGCCGTCGTCGCAGCCCAGCGGCACACTCACAAACTGAGTGTCTTCGTTGATGGAGAAGCCGCCGCCGCCGCCGCCGGCAGGCGAGTCGGCCGGCAAAGAGTCGGCCGCGGGGCGCGGCCGCGGCGCGGGCGCCCGGAAGCCGCCCTGCTGCCGCCGGGCCGCTGCGGGCTGCTGCAGCGGTGCTGCAGCTGCAGCTGTCCCGCCTCCAAACATGCTGTTGACGGCTTCAAAGGCCGCCATGGTCGAAATGGTGACGGTGGGCTCATAGCCGCCCCCCACAGGGCCTCGCGCCGTGGGCGGAAGGCTGGCATGCTCCCCAGGCAACGCGCCCTGTGCCAGCAGGGGGCAGGCAGGCAGGGGGCAGGGTGAGGCGGCAGCAGCGAGGCAAAGTGTAGCAGGGTGGGCATGCTTTGCATGCGCCGCATGCACGGCAGCCAAAACACGCTGGCCGAGGCTCCCTTCCCAAACCCACACCAGCACCTCCTGCCCACCCCTCCCACCTTGAACATATTGTTGAGGGCTGCAAAAGCCGCCTTGGTTGAGATGGTCATGGTGGGCTCGTAGCCGCCGCTGCCGCCAAATGGCGCGTGGCCGATGCCCCCGCTTCCGCTGCCGCCCAGGACCCCGGAGCGCCCCAGCGGCAGGGTGGGTTGATCCTGGGGCAACGCACCCTGCAGATACGGCCAGAGGGGGCAGCAAGGGGGCATCAGCAGCAGGGAGACCGGCTGCGGGCCTCATGCCGCTGGCAGGCGGACACCTGCTGCGAGTTGGCACAAGCGGGCACCCAGCCGCTGCCTCAGGGGGACACCCAGCCGCCGACTCTCACCTTGAACATTGCGTCGAGCGCGGCAAAGGCGTCCTTGGTTGCAATGGTCACCGTCGGCTCCAGCCCAGCAGCCGCCCCGCCGCCGGCAAGCAGGCCAGCGGGTGCCGTGGCCGCGGGCAGGGCGCCCTGCAGGCAGGGGCAACACTCAGGAGGCGGCCAGGTTTGATTGTGTCTGGGACGCGATGCAGGGCGCGATGCCGGCAGCCAAGCCACCATGTACAGCGCAGCAGGGAAACACAGCCAGCAGGGATGCACGACCGGCATGCCCCGCCAGTGCGCCACCCACCCCAAACATTTGATTGATGGCGGCAAACGCGTCCCGGCTGCTCAGCGTCACTGTGGGCTCGCAGGCGGCGGGCTCGGCCTGCTGCGCAAACGGCGTGGGCCGCAGCCCGGGCTGCTGCTGCTCTGCAGAGCTCGCCGGCTCGGCGGCCTCGTCAGTACTATCTGCAGGTGACACAGCAGCCTCCTCTTCCCTCTCCTGTGCTGTGCTGGGCGCCGCGGCGGGGCCGGCCGCCTGCTCGGCAGCCGGCGCAGGCGCCTCCTCGGCTCCCGCCACCTCTGCCCCCGCCTCCGCGGGAGAAGGCGGCGCAGCAATCGCCTCCACCATTACGGGGCTGCCAAAGGCGGCAGGGCAAGCCTCCTCCGCAACTTCCACCGTTGGAACCACCAGCGGGCTCCCCGCTTGTGCAGCGGGGAGCGGCGATGCGCGCTGCTGCTGCTGCTGTGGAGGGGGCTCTGCCGGCACGGCTGCTTGCGCAGCAGCCGGGGTGCCAGCGCTGGCACCCAGCACCACGCCCAGTGCACAGGTATCTCCCTCAAGATCTAGATTCATGTCTGGCAGATCATCCCCTGCCTCGGCCTCGGCCGCAGCGGCGGCGGCCTCGGCGGCCTGCTCCTCCGCTGCGCGGCGCTGCAGCCAGGCCGCCGCCCTCGCCTCCTCGAAACACAGCTCCTCACCTGAACGCGCAAGGGAGCGGGGGCAGCGGCAGCCTCGTCAGCTGGCAGGTCTGCCGCTGGCCGCTTGCAAAGGCAGGAGCGGACGCTGTTACATCTATCGCATGCGGCATCGCGGCCGCGGCACAAGCGAACGACACTCCCTGGCACAGGCGCATTGCAGGAGCGACGCAGGCGGCGCAGGGGGCATCACACACCGCGGCTACCGAGGAGGGCACCCTGGTCAAAAGCCATGGCCTCCTCCCGCCGCCGCTTGGCCGGCGGCGCCTCTGGCGCGCCGCCGGGAAACCCGGGCAGCGGCGCCACGTGCGCCTGGGCCTGCATTTCAGCAAAAGAAGCACCCGAGCAGCAGATGGGTTGTCAGAACTGCTGCGCTCCGTACAGCCAGCTGTGCAGGCATGCCTCCCCGGCCCCAGCCATGCAATGCCATGCTCCACCATCCACCCCACTTCCCGGCTCACGCCGAACCTGCGACACCCGCCTCCGCCGCCGCCACCACCGCACACCACACACACACACCACCACCAACAAGGCCCCACCTTGTGCAGATGCAGCGGGTCCTGAATGATCCCCTCCTCCCCCGCAGCCGCCACGCTGCCGCCGCGGTCCAGGCGCTGGCGCAGCGTGGGGCGGCCCGCCTCGCCCGCCGCGCCGCCGCTCCCCGCCTGCCCAGCCTCCTGCAGCAAGGGGGCGGGACGGGAGGGGAGAGCAGCGGCGGTGTGGGTTTCCAGGCCGCGAGCGGCTGAATGGTTGCCTGTTTGTGCAAGCCAGCTCACTAGGTGTGCGGCTGAGGCGGCAACCGGCGCATGCACCTGCCCCACCAATCAGGTCTCACCACGGCCTGCTATCCCCCCCCCCCCCCAAAAAAG